ATTATGGAACTACTGGCTGGACAACTCCCCGCAATTCAGTTTATGGGCCAGGAAAACATTCAAATACCGCTGCAGTTTTTGATGATTTGAATTGTTGCGCATCCTAAAACCACGTTGATCGAAACGTAACTTCATCGCATTATTCCTTCTTCTGGCGCTTAGGTTAACTGTAGCTGCCCCGCGTCCCTCCTGCAGGTTTTCTGAGTCTGCTAGCCAATACCAAAGGACGCAATGACCCTTTGGAATGTATAGCAATGTGCTTTTTCTAGTGATACACAATCAGCAGAGGGCATTTGAAAATGTGCAGACAGTGTTGACGAAATGTTGCACTCGGCACGTACACAGCAAAAAGGGCTTTAATGAGTAACAGTTCTCCCTTTTTGCAGAGGCAACTCGTTTGTAATGTTAATTGACCGGTGTTGTCAAAAAGGGCAGGTGGAGGTACCGCTGTGGAGTTCATGTGAGTATCCCCGTGAAATCCATTGCTATACTGTCTCAACCCTGTCGATGTTCGGTCAGGCATTCGCTCCTTTGTATATCGTATCTAGTGTGGTGCGACAGGAGGCTCGTCGCGCGGGATAAGATTGCACGCAGCGACGGTCGCACAGCGCGTATAGGCAAGATTTCGCGTCAGGCTTAAATGAAGATGGACCAGTTGGTTTGTCCTGGCGTAGCAACAGGCACGAGCTGCGACTCGCCCGCTGATTCTACCTTCTTCCCACACAACAGGTCTCCTGTCAGTTACCCGCAAGTTGAGCCTTACGTCTCTTAGAAGCTGGGAGATGGGTAACCCTGACAAGGAGGCTTGTGAGAGCTCATGACGAATGAAACATGAACGCCTTCACTTTTCCAGCCTACGCGCGATCAAAACTTCAATATAACGGCGTTTCCTTACAATTTGGGTGTGTGTATCGCCTAGGACTTTGCCGTCTGCCTATGTGCACAGTGCGCGGCGCAACTAAAGTCGCGGATCGCGCGAGGAGTCCAAAAACCTCCCATTCTCCTCTCAGGTGGTACATCGCGATAACTTGCTCCCTCTTAAAATTCCATCTGTCAGGAACGTGTAATTCCATTTCGCACATTTCTGACTAATATCGCGGAAATTTGCGCGCTCTTTCTTTCACATGGGGGTGTGCGTCATATGGCGCGATCCCATTCGCATTGGAGCCCACATGGTTGACGGACTACTTGAACCCGGTCCTTTAAGCCGCCTCAGATCCATCTCTCGTCTGCGCTCTCTCACCTTATCAGCGGCTCATGGCCATTGTGATCACACACATTCAAACTTTTGCCACACTGTAGTTGGCTCACCCACCTCGAAGTCCCTCCCTCCTACAAGGCTTAGTCCTAGGGCTCTCACTTCCTTCCCTGGGATTTGGAGCCAAGCCAGGCGCCGTTCTCTAACTGTCTGTGCCCCCGCCATTCGTGGCAGGACGCATGGAAGAAAGTTCAAGTGTCCTGGAACGGACCATCCGTCGACTGCTGCATCTGTACCGTGAACTTGGCAATCGTCCGCGCACCAAAATTTCGCCGCTGCTGTGGGCCTTGGCATGGCCAATAACCGCTTTTTTCTGAGATTTAATGGGATTCTTGAGATTGGCAGTTTATCAGATTCGCATGCAATTTGAAGTTTAGTAATTTAAGGTGATGGCTGGACAAGATTGTACCGTTAACAAGCAGTATGTTGCAACTGCGGCCTGTGCGCGCCAATGTCAAAGTGATCGCGCCATATGACGGCCTCCCATATGGAGGTTTGAAGAGACCAAATGATACGGTTACAAGGCTTCTGTCAACCAAAGGGTGAGAGCGTAGCTGGAAAAGCACACACTTTGTGTCTTATTGGGACTAAGCCTTTTGAAGAAGATAAAGAAAGAGGAGATGCTGTGATAGTGTGCACTTGTGAGAGCTCCCAGACATCACTACAAAACGCTGAACCGCCAAGCCTCACGGTTGACAGAAGTCCTGAGACCAAACGATACACGCGTGTCATTATTACGGTGTGCATGTACGCGCAGGAACCAAGCGCTATTGCCACATCCACCATTGTCAATTATGGTCCGTTGAAAGTTCACATAGATCGGTTCAACAGAACATCCAGCATAGAAGTACAATTAGAGTTCATTGCGGATTAAAGGCACAACCCAGGCAGAGGTCGTGTGAACGCTTCCCTTCGGTCTGTAGTATAGACCCCTAGAGGACAATCACAAATGTGGCGTTCCCGTGCACGGAAACCAACCGACAAGAGCGCTTGGGCCTTGCAAAGTAAGCTGCTGAAGCTGCAGTTTTTTTTCTTATCAGGCTGTTGTCTGGCGCTCTCTCATCTGTAGCGCTCTCTCGCCTCATCTCTCTCTCCGCTTAGTCTCTCATTCCCTTAGCACAGCCGATTAGGAAGGTGAGTGAGCCCTCAACCTGAAGCGTTTTCGACGGATTCTTTTCCTTTTTTCTTCACTGCCGGCCCACTTCGGCACCAATACATTCACATTCGTGTGCAAGAGCCACACCAATGCGATCCTGGGGCATGCTTTACATCTTCCTGCTGCCTACGATGCAATTTTCCGTGTAAACCATTAGCGCATTTCCAAGTGCCCTTTAAGTGTGTATATCATTGGCAAAAAAAAGCAAATCGTTCACATTCCAGTCTGACCGTCGCACTTTTCGGCTCGGGAGAAAAGGCGTGGCCTATGACCTCCTACTGTTGCCGTACGGTGGACCATTCGTCACTCACCCCAATTTGTGACTTTTCTCGGGCTCAACAGGCTTTCATGCTGCAATGCATGATCTTGAAGCTCTCGATCCGGAGCTTCACACATCAAGTCGCCCGTCCCTTCTCGCTTTTGTGAGCAGACGCGATTATTGTGGCTCTGTCGCCTAACCTCACATCCGCGGATTTTGCACTGTAAACGTTTTTCAAATATTGCGACAATGAACATAGCAAACAATTTTCTGCGCCATTTACAGAGCTAGTAACTTTTTACTTTGATATTCGCGCCCCCCCCCCATAGACCATTGTGGACTGAAAGGAATGATTTCTGTCAATATCATCCTTTATTGCATTTCTTCACTTTTACTATTGTCATTCTGTGTTTCAATTGAATATTCATTATATTCCTGTACTTCAATTGTAAACAATAGCTAAATAAATAAAAATAAATAAATAATTCACTGCTCCAACCGTAGAATTCGAAAATGGTGCGCCATCGGAAAAATGTCACGGCGTTGGCACAGGCGCCGCGCGGAGTGACTGCACGCGCTAGCGCGGCGATCCGTACCAGTCCTGTTTGACCCGCTCCGCGATTTCAATGAGTGTAGGCCTCATGAAAGGATTAACAAACTTGCAAATCGATCTGAGAACTCGAGCGCCAATTCAATGTTCTGAAATTTTTTCACGTTGTTCTACTTCTGATTTTTGCTTACGTAATATTTATAATCATAAAACTTCTCATAAATTAACAGTCCAGCGATTTCCATATCTATTGTCGTTTTCATTCTTCAGCGGTTTTGTGCCGCTCGTTCGGTAGTGGGCGCGTTTTTCAGATTCTGCCACGAACCATACTAACTTGTTCCAGGTCCGCTGCATCATCAATCAGTATTCCTTCATGTACTCTATCTGTGCTCAAAGGGATTCGAACGTTGGTGCTGGTCAATGGAGATTTCTTTGCTAGCGCATGCGATCCTGCCTCAGACGTTTATGTCACGAAGCATCCTTATTCAGAATTTTTTTTTGCGTTGAAACTTATCTATGGCATAAATTTTTCGCACACCCGGTGCCATACGCTCCACCGTTGCCACTGGAAGGTCTCACACAAGAGCCGATAGAAGGTTGCGTCCCGGAAGCGATCTTTGAGCGTCATAATCGCTGATATGAGTTTGGTGAAAAGCTCGTCAATAGAGTTAACTCTGCGGCCATAACATTGTAGCGACCAGTAACCGAAATAACTTAGGAGATACCAGGACTTAAAGTGTCCATATCTGAATATTTGTTAACAGTTCCATAAGCTTGTCCTCTCTGAAATAAGGTTAGCTGTCCATTGACATTTTCCTACCGAACGAGGAGGGGTCGCAATTTGGGATGAGAGGCGATGAAAGTGGAGAGAGTTCAGTGTGCGGTAGCAATTGCAGCGTGTGATGCGGCGCTAATAACGTAACCCCCCGTCCCCCCTAGCGCTAGAAGGACTTCAAAGATACAAGGGTGATGCTTCAGTATGTAAAAGTGAACGAGATCCATCGACACTGAGATTTAACAATGACTATTTAAAGATCAATTCTCGTGATCGTGGGAGGAGGGTCCGAAGAATGGAAACTTACTGGGAAATATACCGTGAGGCATTTTCATCAGCTTTTATTTTTACCAGATTAGTCCCCCGTCAACCGCCGGGACCTTCCTTTCCTGCGCAAGCTTTCTATCCTCCGCTATGGTCCCTTCCTCCTGTGACACCAACACCTCGTGGAAGTGACGCGTATGCAACACAATGGTGTTTCATACAGTAGAAGGGACACAATCATGATATGACGGTAGATTTTTCGCTTCCCTTCCTCATCCTCCCTTCCTCTCTCCACTGCCCTCCAGCTGCCACTGCAGCACCATGTGGAATGAACGGAAGTGTGCTAAGCAGGTGTTTATATAGCCCTAAGAGTGTTATCACAACTATCCTGCTACAAAACATTGATATCTCAAATCCTGTAAGCTACCCGATTTGTTAGCGGTTTGTTTATCCCATGAGCTTCCTTCTCACTCACTTCATTTTGCGGACGGACACACATACACACACACACATACAGATACACAAACCGACACACAAAGTTAGCGCTTTATAAAATAGAAGGATTTGCTTATTTCAGTGTGCATCAGTGTGCAGCTAGTATGCTACGTGAAAAAAAAACATGAACAAACTCCATATGGCTAAAATTTTATTGGGAAAACTACCGAGTATTTTAACTGTCATCCAATCGATAAGTAATATTCAACCAATAATCAAGCCATCGAATTGAATTTAGTGAAATCAACGGTGGCACTCAGCAGGGGTTCCTGCGACGGGAGCTGTTGGTCCATCGCCTGAAAGTTGGGCTGATCCTGATCTACTCTCGAAAGATATTCTTTGCTGTGGTTTTTTTCAGGTGAAGCCTACCTAAAGTAGATAAATTTGCCATAGCGAACTTCACAGGCTTGCCCTGGTCCCGACTCACGCTCAAATGGTGCACCTTCTATCTCTAACCTTTGTGTAAACCGCCCTACCTCTTACAAACCATGGAAATCCCATTGGTCCATACCAGTTGCTCCACCAGGGTATCCATCCACCATGCACAGCTTCATCATTCGAAGGAGGTGTAACTGAAGAGAAATGGTTTTCGAGATATGAGACATTTTTTTGAGAATTTTGAAGATTTGGAACATTCTGCATTTTTGACTTTTTTAAACTAGTGCTGAATATATACATATTTTACCCTGCTTCCAAGTATGTACATTATTGGTGTCGAATAAGGATTCCCGTTCTAGAGCGGATGCATGGGAGGTCAAAGTTTCCCCAACGCAGCGGTTAGCCTTGCGCCCATGCAAAGATTAAGGCTTCAAATAAGCTCGACTGATTGGGAAGGCTTGGAGATGGAAGCGATTCGTGTACCCTAGTGCCATTTCGGATTTCTGAGTGGAAACGAAATGCTTCTTATAAGGCCGCCTCATATATGCTCTGTAACTTTCCTGCGCAGCCCTTCTGAACTGCAGGTTGAGAGCGCGGCAGGTTGTACATACATATTAGGTAGAAACCTAGGACGGAAGTTGTAGAATAAGGCTGCAGAGCTGAATCGACCTCCCCCTTCTTATAAGTGAACACTGAATAATCAAAACTGATAGTTTCAATAGACTTTCGCTCTTGAACGAAAAACTGTTATTTCACCTGGTTTGATCACGGGTTTTGGTGGTTCAGCCATGACATGTACTGGTTTCTTTAGTTGTCTTCCTAAAAAGAAAAATTCACAAATGTGAAATTCACGGGTCTGTCTTTCTGAGGCTTCTCGGTAGGTCGTCTCTTCTGACATATCTTCTGATTCTGATTCATCCCAGAGAAAAATACTCGTCTAATCTTTGACTCCTACCTCTTTGCATCCATGGAAGTTCCACTTTCACAATGTCATCCCAGTATTCAGGTGTCCAGACATCAGTTTACAATTCCATCCAACGGCGGAGGACCTATAGCGGATTCCACAATTTTTTCTTGATATGAAGCATTTTTCAGACTCAGAGAATCTTTCGAATTTTTTCTTTTGTTATTTCTGAAATTGTCAGTAGTGCAGAGGGTGGTGCAAGAACTGAAGATGATGGATTCGATTTTTGTCTGGCTTCAACCATCGGAAAGTAAAGGAGGTGAAGAGGACGGAAAAATGCATTAGGGGTGAAAGTGGGGGAGATTCATCCCATAGAGGAGAGCTTTGCCTGAGTCTTAAAATCACAATGAAATGTGCTATCCCACTCCTGGGATTCTAGTTGCCCGCAATACGTTCTTCCTTCTCCTTTTGTTTCCTGTGACGCTCTCTCGAAACCAAAGATAACCTTTGATACGAAACTGATCAGCGTCGCCATGCTGGGACGGTAGTAAAGTCCCCTAAATAGCCAGTCTATAGCTGGCCAATAGGTCACGTTGATCTCGCCTTCGTCGGCACTCAAAAAGCATGGGGAAAGGGCGGAAATTCACGCTGACCTCCCGCAGAGGGCGAGGTCTATACCACATGTTAAGTGGCGAACGTATTAGGTGGCACCTAGCCTAGGCGGCGAACCCGGCAGAGAAAGGGGAAAGTGCGTGGAGATTGCAGAGACGCAGAGGGTCATGTAGAGGGCGACTAAAAACCAAAAAAAAAAAAAAAAAGAGAGGGCGACTAATATGTACCCCTGAGTACATTTTAGTCGCCGCCCTATCTGCGTCTCTTCAATCCCCATGCACTTCCCCCTTTCTCTGCACGTCATGCATTGGTCGCATTGAGCGTCCCTCCGTCCCTGCCATGCGCAGGGAAGAAAGGGGTACGTGGAAGGTGTTGAGTGGAGGCAGCAAGAAAGCCACTGGAGCTATCGATAATATTGATAACTTTCTGCCAATAAGGTGATCAGCTGTCCCCCGCAGTGTTCCACTTATTGATCGTGTTATAGCTCCTTCCTTGGTCCCGGGAGCATTTCACTCCTTTACAATCATTTAGGCCATGATCCGAGGTTGTGGTGCAGTGGCAAACGTCGCGCTCATGGGCGCTGCACTACATGGTTCAAGTCCATGGCGACGCGACTTTTGCTAGGAATGTAGTGAAGCTCGCCATTCAGAGCGGGGTCATCTGGCTGTCTCGCCTTTCATTATTCACCGCTTACGGCCGTAGTTCACCACCTTTAACTCCCAGTCTATGGCACTTTACTACCGTCCCTGAGGGTGTGTTGAAGGTTGAGAGCCTTTTGAAAATCATCCATTACGACTCCTCCTTCTATTTTGGCTGGTCTCGGTCACTCTTGGAAAAACACTACTTTCACATCTAAACTTACTTTGTTGTACAGGATGTACGATAGGTTTCCGGCGTAGTGGGCATCGGTGGAAGTGCTTCTGTTCCAGTGATGGAATCAATCACTTGCCCATACATAGGCCCTGAAATCGTATGACATCACAGCCAACACCATGTTTCTGCCCGAGAGTACAAAAATGGAGTCTTATTCAGCGGAGTGCTTTATCGCAATCATGGCATTAGGTTAGCTTGGCTCCCCAACCGGAATCAGAACCCGGGAGTCAACCGTAGCTGGTAAATTTCGGGTAAAAAACGAGCCACTTTCCATTGGAGGGGGGGGGTCCGTGCACGATCAGCTCCTAGTCGTTCCACAGATGGAGAACTGATTCTACTGAGGAACTGAAACTTGCCAAAAATGATCGTGGCAATAGCGCATGCCGACGATGGAATACGTTACTCTTGGTTTGAACGGTAAGGGAGAGGGAAGCATGAACGTCGTGCATTTCAAACGGACACAGCTTTTTCATATTTCTCAGTGCCAAACTTTCTCTGAAATGATCAACACTTTATAATGATTTCTTTGCAAAATATTCTTATGCCCATTTGGAACTCA